TTCCATCCAATTTGGATTGTACGAGGCCGAGACCAGATCTTTCCATTTAATGGGGAGGGACAAACGTGGCATGGAACGAAACCAATGACGCCCTTGCTGTGCCGTGTAGGCATACAACAGCTTCCCGGATGGTCATTTCCAACGTCCCGGGTCGAATGTAAGATGCGCGATTGGCGCCAAGAATTTGTATATACCTGATGAGAACTTACGGGATGCTGACTGCGGGGTCTGCACAATGCGGACGGGCCAAACGATACGAGAAAAGAGGGTGTGAGCTCTCCTCACCGGAGCGTGGCTGATAAGAGACTAAGACTGTGGTCCAACCATGAAGATGGCATGTTCGGGAGGAATTAGGGTGTCCTGAGCAGTCTCCATGAGTGAAGGGCTGACGTCGTGGGCGGCTTGAAACACAATCAGAGGTGCGCCTTCCGAGACCGAGAATATCTCCAGCCATTCACCCAACTGAGGAACAGTTTGGGTTTGACGAGCAAGTGTAAACCAGGCAGCCAGTACCTTCGACTGGATCAAGTCGATGTGCTGTCGCTCTTCATCCTTCAAGGCAAATCGTTGCTGGAGATCATGCCACGGGCGGAGAGTCATGGCGTTGTCACGCCACAGATCTCTAAGACAAAGAAGCCCGCGACACGCTAATTGCCGGGCACGCGCCAGACTGAAGCCGAAATTGCTTGCCAAAAAATGGGAAGTCCACCATAAGCTAGTATTCTGCACGTCCTCAAAAGTCCTAGGAGGCAAAGCTTCAACCAGTGGATCCAAGCATCGCCACGCCTTGATGAGGCAAGTCTAGAGTGGCGATCCTTGGGGCGCCGTGAATTTCGCCAGAAGCGTTCATTGGAGTGAGCGGTACCACGGCCCAGGCCTAGGCGGCCGCAGACCTGCAAGCCGGTGTCTGAGCAGAATATGAAGTTGGGAGATGCCGGGAGTCAAGGCCTTCATGACCCATTTGCTCATCAAAGCAATGAAAGCATCTTCAGGATCCACGATGCCAAGACCACCCACTAGCTTTGATGCGCAACAGTCATCCCATCTCACCCTGGCTCGCAAGTGCTCCTCAGTGCCAGCCCATAAAAAGTTCCTCAAAGAGGCTCGGATCGTACGAAGAATTGTAGCGGAACCGCCCCATATGCTCAAGAAATACCATAAGGTAGACAAAAGCACAAAATTCACCACCATTGCTCTGGCGACCAGCAATAGGTGAACCGAGGACCAATACTTTAGTTTTTTACTTATCTTGGCAGCCAAGAACTGGTCGACGTCTGCAGTCGCAAGTGATACTCCAAAAGTGATGCCTAGTAGCTTGCTGAAGGAGCCAAGAGGTGCTATTGTGCACACGAAAGAGGTTAGTTAAGTAGGAGGTGGGTGTATAGCGTACCAGTAAATTCCACACTTGTGCCGATTGAGGATGAGTCCAGTCGCTTTTCCAAAGGCGGTGAGGAGGCTCGAAGCAGTTAACAGGTTCCGTTCTGTGCGTAGGAGCGAGAAAGTGGCATCATCTGCAAATTGGATGAGAACCTGCTGCGTGACGTCGTCCGGGAGGTGAATGCCACGAATAAGACCTTCTGTCATTGCATGACGAGTCGCTGTAGAAAGGGCTTCGGCCACACGCAAAAAAAGATACGGCGCTAGGGGACAACCCTGACGCACTCCTCTTTGAATAGGGAATGGAGGTGTATGAGTGCCGTTTAGGGACACTACTGCAGACACATTTGCCAGCAAAATGCGCACCATGGAAACGTAAAGGGTGGGCAGGCCCATCTGCTCCATGACATGAAACAGAAAACTTCATCCCATAGAGTCATAAGCTTTACAGAACTCGAGCTTGAGCATAAGGAGCTGCAACCTCAGGGCTGACTCTCACTCAAGTTTACCTCAGATGGCTTTTCGGTAGCTCATCATGATTCTAGAAGACTAGGATTCCGCATCATACTCATAACCTAAACACCCTCTCACACAATCTCTCAAGGTATCACTCCAACTCATACACTCATCGACACTCCAAGGTACTGAAAATTCGTCACTCTTTCATATATGAAACAAGTCTCTACATATGAACTCTCCAAACTTGCTTGAGAGGCTCTTCCCTACCTCTCTATAAATACTACTTGAGAATTTACCATAGTAACAAATGGTAATTTCTATCTAACTTACTTATACGAAGATAAACCATAGTAACGTTGACTAGTTATCAATATGTGGCAACATGCCATTGGCCTCCTAAACCTTCTAGATGTTTACTAATTCCTAGATTGAGGTGGCGACATGCCATTTGTGCCTTTCCCACTTCTAGAATTTCCACTTTCCACTAAGTCAACATTAGACTTAGTCTAACCAATGGAATACTCCTTACTTTAGTCAAACCAATCAAAACTAAACATGAAATTCAAAAGTCTTTTCTCTTGGAATCTAGACTTTTGTACAAGACAAAATAGAAGTGCTCACTCAAATCTTCTAGAACTTCTCTAGTTATTCTGCCAAGTATAGACATTATAGCTAAACTAGCTAGACTTAGTCATAACTAGTTAAATTTAGTCATGACTATCCTAACCATGATTAACTCCTTGGCTAATTCTAGTTTTATTTCACACATGCAATATCTGGTCTTACAGAGCGGTTGTCCAGTAGCTTTTGCCCAAGAAATGGTTTCGTGTTGAACCATTATGATGTCAAGAATGTGGCGTCCAGGGAGAAATGCAGACTGCCCCGGATGAATGATGTCTGGCAGAAGGTGTTGGAGCCGAATCTGGAGCACCTTAGCAAGAATTTTATAGGAGGTATTCAATATAGTAATCGGCCTTCAGTTCGGAATCTGTTCCAAGTCCCCATCCTTCGGAATCAACGGTACCAAGCCATGCGTCATGCCGAAGGGAAGTGCAACGTCAATGATGGCTTGGTGGATCATCTGGTCAAAATCGTTGCTGAGTAACTTCCAGAAGTGTTTGTAAAACTCGGTGAGGATGCCGTCAGGTCCCGGACTCTTGCCCGGCGCCATGTGTTGTAGTGCCGAGAACAGTTCTCCAGCGTCAGGCGGGGCGCCTAGAATCTTGAGAATGCCCGGAGAGAAATGGTCCGTGAAGGATAAAGGGATCATATCAATCAGCGTGTCTTCGGCTAGTTTCATGTCAGGGCTGATGCCTTTGGCAGCGTATAGCTCGCGGTAATAGTTGATCACTATATTGTTAAGGCCCGGACGATCTGTAACTCGAGTGCCAGTCAGAGTGTGAAGAGCGGAAATCACGTTCGTGGCGCTGGGTGCTCGAATCGCCCTGAAAAATTCCTTAGAGACCGTGTCTCCCCGAAGCTTCCATGCAACCTTAGGATCGAACCTGAGGTCCCGCGATTTTCCGGTCTTGGTATTCCTGCAGGCGCTGTCGACTATGGCCTCAAGCTCAAAATAAGGAATCATCATGCGGTGCATTTTGCGCAAAACGAGTGAGGGATTCCACTTCAGCAATAAGTGCGTCTTCGTCTACCCTAAAGGCTTGAACCTTTGTTTTGCAGAAGCCACGGTAATACCTTGTCACTCGCCGTATTTTAGAGAAGAAAGTAGGGCCTGGCCAAACGTTCTTCCATAGGCGTGCGATTTCCTCTACTACGTCGTCGAACCATTGACTACTCATTTTCCAATGAGTAGCACGGCGCTGCTGTACTGCAAACTTAACAGAAGCAAAGACCGGATGGTGATCTGTAACACTAGGGTTTAGAGAGAAGTTCACTCGAAGATAGAAACATAAACTCTGAAGATGAGAGATACCAACAATGGTTCTCCTCTCCCTTATATAGCTCTCACCAACAAGTACAAGGTGATAAGATCTAATCCCCACCATCCATACCACTCCTAGTGGATGGATGACGTGGCGGATAACCCTAACAAGCACACGGATCGCTGACGTGGCGCACCCAACTAACACACTAACTAACACACTCAATCCTTACCTACAAGCACACGGATTGCTGACGTGGCACTGTCAACTAACACATCCACTCTGTACCTACCAAGTGCGCGGATCGCTGACGTGGCAGCTATGACTAGTGCACACTAAAGTATCTACATCAATATTCAGAGTAACCTCTACTTTAGTTCTAACTAACTAAAGATGGTTACATGATCAGATAAAACCATATCGCCGCGGATGGAGTATTTGAGAAGGATACTGTCAATAGCGCCGGGGGAGGCTTCAAACAGGTACAACCTGTCGAGTCGTGCAAGTGAACGGGCTGCTTGAGACCTTTGATTATCCCATGAAAATGAGAGACTATGAGTCGACAAGAGGGGGTCATCAACTTTCAAGGCGACCTTCATTCCGTTGAAGATGATCCGCTCGCGCATGAGGACAAGGGCAGCGCTTTGACGTGTTTTATCGGCACGTCTCTCCACCATATTAAAATCTCCCAGAAGAATCTAGCGGCATGTTTGAGGCAGATCTCGGGCTAATGCTTCCCACAACAAGCAGCGTGACAGCGAATCATTTGGTGCGTAGATGTTGACAAAGCCCACATCACCACCAGGCAAGCCTTGGAGAATGAGCCACTGGACTCGATTAGCAAGGAGGGAACCTAACGCACCAATATTGTGACTCCATCACGGGTGAAGTATGGTGAGGACGCCGCCGCAGTTAGCACCCGGATCATCCTGACTGTGGCCGTATCTAGGTGAGGCATCCAAGCCAAAGCTTTGTGCATGGCGCCATAATAGATTGGAGATATGAGCAAGGGAGGAGCCCCTGAGTTTATGCTCATGGATGGCAACAACATCCATCCAGGGGAGGGGAGGAATGTCGGATATAAGATTGCAAAGTACTCACGGCAGAATCCTCGTTGAGACCGCGAGCGTTGAAGGAGAGAAAATGTACTTTCATTGATCACCAAAGGGGATAATGGCGTCCCCGCCGCTCTCTAGGATAGGCTTCCGAAAGCTCCACAAGTCGTAGGTTGAGGGTCGGGATGAGGTTGATGTAACAACCTGGCGCGCCGTTGCTCAAAGACTGCGCACTGACGTCGGAGTTGGAGCATTCGATACAGGTAGAGACTGAGGCAGGTCTGATGTCTTTAGGAAGGACAGCATGCGACTCGCGAAGCTTTGACTCTGAGCCTTGGAACGAGCCGCACCTGCAGTCATCGTCTCACCAGAACTAGAAGTCAATGTTGGGACGGCCGTGACGAGTGCCTCATTGGGAGACGATGGCGGCGTTGGAGCCTTTGGGCAGCGTCCACAAACAAGTCAAGATCTCCTAAAGATGCCGATCGATGGGAGGGAGACTGGCCAGCCTCCTCGGGTTGGGCACCGGTTGATGGCAGAGCCGGAGTTGGTGACATGGCCGGCCCTGCCGGTGTTAGAGGCAGTGGGAGCAGGACCGAATCTTGACCAGTAGAGGGAGCTGGAGCCGTCACTTCGGTACTTGGACTCGCGGGCACCTGTATAATTATGGAGGATTCTGAGGGCATAGAGGTCGGTCACCGACGTGCTGACTTAGCTTGGTGAGCAGCGATGCCTTCAGAATTAACCTCCATGGCAGTCAGATTCGCAATTGGCAAGGACGTATTCGATTGTCGGCTAGACGCACAGGAGAATGGGTTAGACGGGAATGAGTTGTGGGCCATCATGTATAGCTTCTTCGTGTGACAACCGCTTGGCCAACCATTCCTGTCATAAGGAAGAGTGTCTTGGGACTCACCAGGTTTCTCCATGGTCACATCAGGCGGGTCTAGGGGTTGCTTGTCGGAGGTCACGAGACCTGATGGGCTTGGAGTAGTTGCTATGGTGGTCTGAGAACCTGAACGCATCCTTCGAGTTTCTGGAATCATGTCCAGGGCCGGATTGCATGCAGGAGGCGGTTGAATGTCCCATCCCGAAGGCCTGTGTCTTTGGCGTGGTGGTCGTGGCACCAGGCTAGGAGAGCCACTCGGGGCCGGTGGTAGTGACTGTTGGCGGGTCGGCGACTAGAGGGTCGGCAAAAACCGCTATGGCAGATCGCGGAGCTCGCTCGCAGGCAATTTGTCAAACCGAGAGGGAGACCGGCGCCGAGGTGGAATTGGAACGAAGCCATCTGCATCTGACAAGTGAAACGTTGATCGTCGGGGTTGGGAGTACTCCTGCCAATGATGCCGTCGGTGGCGACGAAGCTTGGCCCCGGGGGTCCTGGAGGCCGCTAGTATTGTTTTCCACGAGGCAGTAGAGCATGCAGCCGTTGCCAATGTGCAGCTGGAGGAGTTTGTCGTTGAATTCCGTCAGCGGGACGAGGTCCCAGGCGGTTCTCCCTTGGCGGTTGACGCAGAGAGTTGGTGGTGCAGGCTGTCGAGTGGTGTTGGTGATTGCCATAGATGTGGCAATACAGCTCCATCGCTTCGTAGTGAATGCCGATGGTTGCACAACCTCCTGCCTCACTGTACCCAACCACATTGTACCCAACCACATTATTAATCCAGCCGTGACGAATGTCAATTCTTACACAAAAGCGAGGGGGTGCATCTTGGGGCCGGTCACTGTCACCGGCAAAGATTGGACCAAGTTGCGCAGCGATGAAGCTGGCAATGCGTCGAAACTCTAGTGGGAGGTCCGGCAAGGTTATCCACGTCGGCCAGAGGATTCCGAGGGGCAAGTGCGGATTGAAGCCGCGAGACCAGCGTTGATAGAACACTGCATCACCTTGGAATTGATGAAGAGCACATGTGAGTAGGCGGTGCGTGGTGGCAGCGCCATCCGTCCGAACATAAGCAAAGGACTGTCCGACTAAGCGATACGAATGAACAGTGCCCGGATGAGCCAGTTGAATGAGGGAGTTCCACCAGTGTTCACCTGTGGCGCCCTTCAACGTCCCCTCGACAGTGCACGCTAGAACCACATGGTCGCCAAGTGCAGAAATTCCTTGAGCGACGGTGTCTTGGTCAGCGGCAGAAAGCGTGAAGGAGACCGCGCCGCGAACGAGAATCCCTTGGTAGTTGCGAAATGTGCCTTGTGGAAGTAATTCTCCAGCATGCCTCCGAAGCGGGTCCACTTGGCCTGTGTCAAAGTTGCCAGTAGCCAGAGCGGCTGTCAAGAAGTCCAAGGTATTAGAAACATGGTCAGAGGGAGGTAACGCGCGAGCTCCATTATGGAGAACCGCCTCGTAAGTGGCACGGGCGGGCTGCATGGTAAACCCTAAGAAGCTCGTTTTCCTCGTGGGAGAATCCCCGGGATCAGGGAACCTCTCAATCGACTCGCCAAGCGATGCCGTTCACGATTCTGAATTCGCTAGCTCGAAATGTCGCACTGTGCACTCACTACTGGGCCCTCCGCCGAGGCGGCAGCCGTGCACCTTCGTCCTCCATCGCCATCACCTCCTTGATCGTAGTGGCTGATTATGAACCTCTATAATCTCCAATTTTCTTTTCCGGTTTGCAATCTCTCTGTTTATCTCATGAGTCTCATCTTTTCCGTAAAACTAAGTTGAACTATTTTACGTGGCAATGATAGTGTAGAATGTCGGTGTACATGACACTAAATGAGCACTACCGAGATACGAAGGGACGTAACGTGAGCACAGATTAGAGGACGAGCAAAGAGGGATACTGGGACAGGTTGAGATGAGAGGGGCCAAAAAACGGAAGCGGGCCCATGGGAGTGCATCGGTGTCTGCTGTGATTGGTAGTTCGGATTGACGCTTTTCTGAGCTTGACACATGGACGTAGATGCCAATCATGAGGGATACAACGAGTCACGAGTAATACCCCGTGCATACATGGACAGGCAAGTGCTGTACTTCTTGTACTTTTCCGTACTTTGTGACAAGCAGCTTTACCTTTTATGCAGCTCTTCTCGGTTCTCGCTTTTCAGCTTGCAATTTATCCACACCTATCCCGCTGTTGTTGGAGATCAGGCAGAATCAGATCAAAGAAAAGGATTCGGGATGGGTCCTTGATTTCAAAGGTTTGTTTCTGTCCGTTTCGTCTTGTTTTCAGATATTCAGTCTACTGTCTAAGTGCTGATTGATTTCGATAATTGCAATCATTGGTGTTATCTGGGAAACCTTAAATGCGCTAGCTGCAGTTCCTTCACACTCTGTACTCGATCTACAATTATACTGCACACAAATCTTTTCGTTTCATTTATTGTACAAAAAGTAAGGTTACTTCCAATTAAATCGATAAGGTTTTGTATTGTTGGAAGTCAACTCGCCGTCACAACTAAAGAGAACAAAATTTCACATATGGTGACGAAAAAAACACATATACAATTATGTGAGATAATAAGAGTTATCATCCATATGAAAATAACACTGCAATATCAAAATGCGTGTGAAACGAATTTTGCACATGTAGATTTATCATAAGTCCCAAAACAGTATAAAGATGTTGATGTGATATTCTTGACAATACATTCACAAATATTGTCAAGTCATCCACATATACAGGACAAGACATACTCGTTTAAACGGTTCAAACTTCAAAATGTTGATGATGTAAAAAGAAAATTGTCTTATCCAATAACATAAAATGAATCTTCAAAATCTTAATGGTGTAAAAAGAAAATTATCTCCTTGAATAAGTTAAGATGAAGACATACTCGTTTAAACGGTTCAAACTTCAAAATGTTGATGATGTAAAAAGAAAATTGTCTTATCCAATAACATAAAATGAATCTTCAAAATCTTAATGGTGTAAAAAGAAAATTATCTCCTTGAATAAGATAAGATGAAGATCTACTGAAAACGTGTGCTATATGCCAAGATTCTTCATTGCAATTGAGCAATTCATAATGTCATTTAATCTTCATCAATCTCGGTATCAATGTCCAAATCTAGTTATAATTTTCATATGTCAAACAAGTATTCCTGTATTGTAGACAAAAAAAAAAAGAACGACATCATGTATCAACTGTCAATGAATCAAATGATGAGCAAAATTCATGTCTAATTTTGTTATGAATATTTAAAGTTAACATATAATTTGAGTCTTTCTATATAAAATGTGTATAATTCATTAGGCTAGTTCTACTTTCTTAATAAAATAGTAGCATTTTTAAGATAAATTAAAATTCTTAATTTTATTGAAATCATTCAATTATTAGAGTGTTCTATTGCTCTAGAGACAAATTATGATCAACAAACAACAAATCTGAAATATCCAGATTTATCATCAATTTCATGTTATGCAAATTTTTTGTGCATATCTATGCTAAATGTTGCGTGGCGATATAAGTTTCAAGTAGTTTCAAAACACTTGTGTAAGATAATTCTTGCTTATATCAAATTTTTTTGTCAAGTGGTGGAAATTGCGGTGTTTACTCTGTTCTTACAACTAACACGTGGTTGTTGGTTTGACGTAGAACAACATGAACATGACATCATAATATGTGAACCATTGGACAGGACCATTGGAGAGGACGCGATCTTCATGGTCCTATTTCATCTGGATTCTCGTCCATATTCAAGACAACTCGGGGAAACGATAAAGCAGACATGGGCTTGAACATTTTTATAGTCAAACCTGGTCAAGCTCCCAGAGGACGTATACTATTTACACGAGGTCTTCGATGACGATATTACAGAATTTAGCTGTATGAAAACGAAAATACAAAGGACAAAATTTCCCCATAGGTTTCTTACAGAACCTGGAGGGTTATGTGACGGCCTCACCCAATGATTATTTTTTCCATCCTCAATCGAACAAACGCTCTCCGGCAATGTGTTTCGGATTTGTCTTGGAAAGCTTGTGCTGCGAATGAAGGGTTTTTTAGCTGTATTGCAAAGCAATGCATGCTTTTTGGAATGTCCTTCTTGCAACATGCAATGCCTCAGAAACTCCAGTCTGTGCATACATGAAGAGTTTTTTGAATTGTTATCTCCATATATGCAAAAACCGTGTTGACAGAAACAGACATGGCGAGGAAGAACATTTGATAATATCTTGTCTAAAGATATGAAGTATGAATTGAATTGAAGTTTTGAATGAAGGTTTTCTCTTCATTTCAAAACCACAACGCAGAGACCATATATTTGGCAGCCTACCGAGTACGATGATCAAAGTTGGCCTCCTACGGAGAAAAATCTACCACAGAAATACGTTTGGAGTTTCACGAAGGCAGAGACCTGTGCGTCTAATCTAATTTGAAAATCATTAAAAATCATTAAGTGAGAAAGCGAACAGGACGTGTGTGGAGAGAAGCCCGATGCACAAGTCTGTAGATAGTTTGTCTCGCTAGTTTGTCTCGCTTTGTGGAAAATAGGCACGGTGAAAATGTCCCGATAACTGCGCAGTAGGCGGGCTATACTGGAACACATCTGCACCGTCAATCCAGGTCATCGGAATGATCGGAGGACGGATTTGGTAACAACTGGGTGCGCTCGGGTCCAGGATAGGGTTGGAATGGCGCTAGAGGTCAGGTCACGACGAAGTTGCGGAGCAGAGGAGCGCGAGGGCCTCCAGGGAGCCTGGCGGAGGTTGAAAGCGGCCCCATTCCGTGTCGACCACCGATTTGGACAAGCCGATTTTAATCAATTAAGGGACCAATGAGGTCGCATCGACTGGATTCGGGGCGGTCCGTTTCTCTAGCGCAAATTGCATTGCAATTGCAGCTTGTGCTGAATTTAGGTTGGGAGCAGAACCGAGCCGGAAGGAGGTTTTCACGGATGGATGGGTGGGTGAGAGCTAGGCTCGACTGGGGTTCGTTGAGAAGCTGAACTGGGCACTGGAGAGTTGCGAGATCAGTGATGCTACGCGATCTTGTCCGCGCGTGTTTCGCAAGCTTTGGCGCTGTGCTCACAGTTCCCCGGATATCTGATTCTGTCTCTGAAGTTGGTGGCAGTGGCGACTTCGCTCGTTCTAGAATCTCAGCGATCCTTTCGGTGAGAGAAAGAGAAGTCGAGAGTGTTCCCGTGTTGCAATCTAAGCAGCTCTTCCAATGGGACTCTTATTCACCTCTTCTCTGACACCTCCTGTCCCGTGCGACAATCTGTTTGATCCTTCCTTCCGACCTCGCTTGTGCCATGTCTGGTGTTTGGGTTCTTGTTTCAACGTCGGAAGTGGACGTGGAAGTTGATGGCCGCCTCTCACTCGTGGATATAAGAAAACAAGTTAGTCATGCGATTTTTCGGACCTTGCACGACCTTGAGTAGGGAGGAATTCAGATTTTACCTGTCTAGCTGAAGGCCGACGATAGGACCTTCGTCGTTTTGTTAGCTGTCCGGTGGTTCTTTTTCATTTCTCCCTCTGTCTCTCAATGCGGTGACCGAAGGACGTTCCAAGGGGATTTCAATCGGTTGAGATTTCGGAATTTTTTTCCGACACAACTTTGTTGATGGGTAGAATTTTGGACAGTTAAACGATTTGCGTAGTGAGAGGTGCCAATGGCTGGAGCCCGTGGTCCTGCTGAGACCATGACATCTCGCGCAGCTGTAGCTAGTGCAGGTCAGATGCAGAGGCAACGGGAAAGATTGGTAGCTGAAAATGTGGCGCCCATGCCACCGCTTGTGTGCAAGCCCTCAGATCACAGTCTAGACTTTTCCGGCACCAATTCTCATCCGGTGCCTGTTAGAGAATTCGATGTCAGAACTCTCCTTCCTCAGATCAATAATATCAAAGAGATTCAAGAAATTGAAGAGGAGTGTAAATTGACCGAGAAGACTAAAAGGTTGGTTATCAAGCCTATTGTCCGGGTAAAGATGAAAAATGCGAATCTCAAAAGGTTGGTGAGCGGGGCCATCGCTGGGGCTTTCTCTAGGACGTGTGTTGCTCCTCTTGAGACAATACGAACACATTTGATGGTCGGGAGTGGTGGTCAGACTGTACCCGCGGTATTTAACCATATTGTGGGACAAGAGGGTTGGCGCGGACTGTTCAGGGGAAACGGAGTCAATGTAATTCGAGTTGCTCCAAGTAAAGCCATCGAGGTGATCTATGCTTCGAATTATTATTTTTCTTGGTCTTTCCATTGATTATTTTATTTCAAATGATCTTTAATTATCGATATAAAGTGAGTGCAATGTTTAACTAGGAAAACTTTAGAAGTTGCTGATGTTGAAGATAACACTGTAATCTTTCAATGTAGAAAGAAAAAACGTTCATGCTAAATCGGTCTACTTAAAACCGCCGCCCTTGCTCGAACATAAACTGTGGAATCTTTGGATGGACCTCGCTTGTCTGTTTTTTTAAATTGTTTTTAGGCCAATCAAATCTTTTTGACTTACTGAAGTTGCTTGTGAATAAGTGTCTGAAGGTTCTTGAAGGTGTTAGGTTTTTACTGAAATTGATCTTCGCTTGTATGGATCAGCTGTTTGTTTTTGACACTGTCAAGAAAGTTTTGACTTCGAAGGATGGGGAGAAAGCTAAAATTCCTTTCCCAATTTCAACTGTGGCGGGTGCTACAGCAGGTGTTTGCTCTACATTGGTTATGTACCCACTGGAGTTGCTGAAAACTCGTTTGACTATTCAGGTTAGTGTTTTTCTTCTCCCTGTGGCTTTATTTCTTGGACAAACTTAACTTCATCTCGGTGTGTGTGTAAAGAGTAGATTTTGCTTTGGCACAGCTTGACCTTAGCATTGTACAATCCCCTTCTAGTGAGGAGGAGTATACACTCAACCTACTCTCCCTTACCAAACTATGGCACGTTTGATTGCAGCGGGGGGTTTATGACAATCTGCTGCATGCAATGGTCAAGATTTGTAGAGAGGAAGGGCCGAAGGAACTATACAGGGGTCTAACTCCCAGTCTTATTGGAGTAATTCCTTATTCCGCCGCACACTACTTCGCCTACGATACGCTAAGGAAAATGTACAAAAAGCACACGAAGCAGGAGAGAGTGGGAAATCTGGCCACCTTGTTGATTGGGTCTACGTCTGCTGCGATGTCGAGCGCTTGTACGTTTCCTCTGGAGGTCGCACGAAAGCAGATGCAACTGGGAGCCGTGAGCGGTAGGGTTATATACAGAGATGTGTTTCATGCCTTGACAAGCATTCTTGAGCAACAAGGGCCCGCTGGTCTATACCGAGGTCTTGGTGCTAGTTGCTTCAAGTTGATACCAGCTGCGGGGATCTCCTTTATGTGTTATGAGGGTATGAAGCAGATCCTCATTGACGACGAAGACGAGCAGCAAAGGTAGGGTGTCGGGGCAATTAAGCTGTTGGTTGAACCTTTCGTCCAGCCGTTCTCCATCCAAGTATTGTCACCCCACTGCCGAGTTATTCTCATCCAGTCGCTTCGCTGGGACGAGCCCTTCCGCGTCCTTCTGTTGAGAATCATGTGTTCCTTCTGTACGATTTGAGTCTCGCATTTGCCCTTGTGCAGATTCAGATTATTCTGTATTTGTAGTAGGCATTTTCAGCGAGATCTTGAACCGCCATTGGTTACCATTATTTGTGATCTAGCCTTTACAGCTCATGTATACCTTCATTGTTACCGAGACTTATCTAAGCCCTTTTAAAAGGGTGGGATATGATTATCCTCCTCATATTCGAAGCCATGTGAATGGCGTAAGTTTCCATCAGCTTACTTTGTGGAAGAAGATGGAAGGCAGTGGGCCTTTCGAGTTGATCAGTACAAGAGAAGATTCAAGAGGTATAGCATAGGGAATTTAAGAGTGCACAAATAGAAATTGTGATACACGAAGTGTGATGGATTGATTCCTCCACTGTTACAAGTATTAGCAGGGTTGAATTTGGTTGCCTAGTTGATAGTTTAAGGCCTCTGACGCTTACAAGGGAACGGTTCCAAGATGAGCGAGGAATAACATACCCATAGCGTTTGAAGAGTTTTTCATTAAGCAAGGCAGAACGACTTTTAGCAGGAACTAAGATAAAGGTAGACCCATATTTAGGGAGAATACTGTGGCAGCACATGTCACTGAAGAGTAGGCACGCAATAGCATAGGAAATTAGGGAGTACTGAAGGTGACAGCAGTGAAGCAGAGCCAAAAGCAATTGTGGGTAGTAAGAAACGTGGCGCTTAAAATAAGTATCGTTGTTCTGTGGAGTGGTCACCGTAGCCACCGTTTTTGTAATTTAAGAGAACCCGAATGTCGATGGTTGTTTGCCAAATGACAGATTACAGCAATGGATTTCCTTGGAATAAGCCTTTAAGCATCAGCTAATATCAGGGTGCAACTTTTGGAAGCTTTTCTGATAGACATTACGCATCTGTTTTGACTGCGCTCGTACTTATGTCTGGTTTCTTCTGTGGATTAGAGGATTGTGCTGCCCCTTGTAGGCATGACTATCGAAGACTAGTGTACATCGACGAATACATATAATCGACGGGACAGAAACCGCTTTCTCATTTCTCTCTTGCAGTTTAGGAAGTAACAATTTGCTGTCTTTACTTTCCGCGACTAATCTAAGGCGAATCAACAAGAAGAGAATCTGGAATAGCAGTTGTGGAGAAATGTAGGGACTGGAGAGATTGGTATGTGGATAGTGGATGGAGGTATCGTGGAGTGGCAAGAGAATCTGCAGCAATATTGTGCGAGAAACTGGAATCCTACCGTGATCAAAAACATCTCAAAGATTCTCCTCCAATCGACCTTCTTGAGGTGGAACGTCCCCACCAGAGGCCAACGTTTTGTTTCAAATCTGTACCCAGACAAGACCAACCATCAGCAGCTACCTAACCCCACCCGTAGCATTACCTGTGCCCACACATGCTATTCAAATTACGCCAATTGTGTTTTGTGTGTTAACCGGAAACATCAATTATTGGTTGGAATTTGACAAAAACTGCCCTGAGCATTACTTGTGTCCACCCATGGAAAAACAATATCATCCAAATCCCATACCCATGCCCCTGGGTTCTGGGTGACCAAAACCCAGGACATTTGGGTCCTTTTGGAAAAACAAGAGAACAAGGAGAATAAACATGTGTTTGAACTCCGAAGCATGGGTATGGACATGCGGTTCAGTTTGGAAGAACAAGGAGAACAAATGTTTTGTTTGAACGCCGAAGCCGAAGCTTGCTACAAAAAGCTAACATATCCCTACTAGTACATATGAAACACTCTCAGGAGGTGTAGACCCTTATTAGAGTGCACCTTAAATGCTCTAGTGATTAGGGTGAAGTAAGTTTCGCAAGAATTTTTTCAATACTCTGCTATATTCGACTAGCACCCTACTAGTACATATGAAACACTCTGAGGAGGTGTAGAACCTTACTAGAGTGCACCTTAAATGCCCTATAGAGTAGGGTAAAGTAAGTTTCGCAAGAAATTTTTCAAGAGAACAAGGAGAATAAACATGTGTTTGAACTCCGAAGCATGGGTATGGGACATGCGGTTCAGTTTGGAAGAACAGGGAGAACAAATGTTTTGTTTAAACTCCGAAGCCGAAGCTTGCTACAAAAAGCTACATCCACCCTACTAGTACATATGAAACACTCTCAGGAGGTGTAGACCCTTATTAGAGTGCACCTTAAATGCTCTAGTGATTAGGGTGAAGTAAGTTTCGCAAGAATTTTTTCAATACTCTGCTATATTCGACGTTGGATACACAAACTCTTCAACTTATCATGATTAACTCAATCTCATAAGTTTGTTTCATCTAAATTGAGTGGTGAACAGTCACTTAATCTCATATGCTCCAAACCATGTGGGTAGTATTTTTGTATGGATTCTCGTATAGTGCCTTGAATCGTATAACATCAAGTCTCCCACCTTGAACACCCGCCTCTTTACCTTGGCATCCCATGCTTTCTTCATTTTTCCTGAGCCACCTCAATTGCATGTCTCGTCTGCAACTGCACATCGTCCAATTCGTTAAGTTGCACCAACCGTCTTTGTTGCGACTCATCCAAATGTAAACGTGCTTTGGAAGCAATGCAAGTGTTATCAGTTAGTATTTTAGTCGGAGCAAAGCCTCAATGCCATAGGCTAAACGAAATGAAAAGAAACATGTAGCAGTTTCGAACATTGGATTATATATCCACATTGCATGATGGATCTTGAGAATTCAATCACTAACACGCGACCTTGTTTCCGCTTCATTCGCAATCGTAGAACATAGTATCTGTTTGTTCGTTCTACAAGTCCATTTGTATTTGCTTTATACATAGTTGTAAACTGATGTTCAATTGCTAAGCGTTCCATTAAATCTACCCACACATCATTCGTGAATTGAGTTCTGTTTAGCCCTCGGCAAGGTAAGGTAAAAGGTTACCGGGTAATGCATGTACCTTTACATTTACCTTACCTTTTAACTTATCCGAACCACTACTATTTACCTTTAAGTAAGGATAATTTATCCGGTTATCCGGTACACATTCTTAAAAGTTAAAAGGTTATACGATAAATTGGTAAAAGTTAAAGGCAAAGACTAGGCTATAGGGTAATTTACTCGGTTACCCGTAATCTAGGGTTTACGAGTTATTGGCTTCACGTTTCGACGCTCCGACTAGTTTCATTTCGCTTCGACAATTTGCTTCACGCTTCAAGTAGCCGCGTCATGAACTCTGTCTTTTGCAATGATAAATGATTACACGGTAATTATCGGATAATCCATTAAACTCTATCTTTAACTTACCCATTACCTTCCATATAATCCAACCTTTACCTTTTATCTCAATATTTTACCAATTTACTATGTATCCATAAACGATTATCTTACATTGCCGATGCCTAGGTCCGTTATGTGATAACATCTCTGAAATATCAAAGCCAGTAACAATACGTTTATATCCAAACAGTGCTATCTCTTTCTTAACCTAAGTCTTCATGATTTTTAATCAAATTTTCCATGTTGCACTAAGTTACTTACGGAAGTATGCATTCAATCTATGAACACTTCAGGGTAAATGTCCAATCCAAAACTCTGCAAAATTTGTAAAAGAATCTGTGGCAACCACAATAAAGCTACATCTTCTTTTGTAAACGGCAAAAAATCCATCAAATGGAGATTCCAAATATCACATGTACCAATGGAGTAATAGGGTGCAAGTTGCTAGTTCCTATAGATTTATTGGCAAATGCTTCACACACTTCGCAACGTTGAAAATAGTCAAAAACATATCCTTGAACATAGTTGACTAATAGTATTACATTGCCAAGATTTTCTCCATTGCAATTTTTCCCACAAAAAGACTTCATGAAATTCTTGTAACAATTGTGATATTGCAGCTTCTTCCATTATGCATCAAAAAACAATATTTTTTCTTAAAAAATGCAATAGTTCACTTACCAAGATATAAAAATGATTCTTAAGTGCAATTCTTGTTCTAACTTGTTTGGTTGCACCATTCAAAAAATTCATGCCTTTGAGATATCAGATGATATCTTTGTACTTCTCCTATTGTTGTCAACGTCAATTAACATTAACATTGCGTCGGAAAAATCATCGTTTTTGTAGACAACGTCAACATCCTTCTCCATTTTTGAAAAAAAGTCTACAATTCCATGTTTTGTGTCCGCGCGATGTACAATTTCCAAAACAAATTCTTGAAGCAAAATTATCCACCATGCAAATTTTTCGTACTGTTTGATGTGTTGAGAAGATAAATCAGTGCTTGATTATCTATCATAATTGTAGTACTCGTCCCCAACGAGTAGTGTCAAGAATTTTTCAACTCACAAATAACATTTAGATCTTCTTGTTCTGTGACTCTGTAATTCAATTCTGCACAATATATGAAATGATCGTATACTTCCGCATCCAACTGTGAAAATGTTGCAATCATTACTTCTCCAATGCATATGTAAAAATAAAAAACAATATCTGGCAATACGGAGTTCATAAATTGGTCATAAAAGCAATACTTGCTTTAGCTTCTCAAAACACTATAATGCCTATGATGTAATTTGCGTAGTAGTAGCATCATACTTCAAAAACCTAGTTAAAGGTTTGTTCATCATCCTGTATCGTTCAATGAATCTACAATAATAGCGAGTGTTTCCCAAAAAGACTCTAACCTCAAGTTTGATGGTAAAAAATGTTGCTACTAACACATCTTTTATTTTCTCAAGATCGATACCGATACTCTCTTTGAAGACAATGCGATCTACCAATCTACGAGACAAAAACTCAAGCTCTATTTTTTCAACGCTTAGTGTGATTTTTCATTCAAGCGTTCAAAAAACTTTTCTAATTTCTTCAAATGTGAAGTTTGATCCCCGTAATTACGGTTTTAAGACTTTATTCATTAGTTTTTGAAAGGTACTTGGAGCATTGCAAAATTCGAATGACATTACCTCGTTAATAAAGGTACGTCATGGTGAGGTGAAGATGTTCTTCATTTGATCTTCTTCCACGATACTCACTTGATGATATCCGCTTTATCCGTTTGCTAAAGAGTAAAATTTGTGCTCCCACATCTTCAAGAAATTTGTCGCAAAATGGAATGGGATTTCGATCTTTCTTCATGTCGTCGTTGAATTTCTTGTAGTTGACGCAAATTCTTGACTTTCCATTTTTCTTAGAAGCCAACATGATTGGAGATACCCACTTAGTATTTTCTATCAGTCGAATGAATCAAGCTTATAGTAACATTTCCAATTCTATTTTCACCACTTCAACATATTTAAAATTTATACCATAAGGTTTTGCATGACTACCTTCGCATTTTGTACAAGCTCAATTCTATGCGTTTCTATGGTGACTTTTTGCAAATCATTGTAATTGAAGACGAATATATGGATAAACTTACGCAATAGATGTCAAAAAAATTCCCGCTCTTGAGGCAATAATTTTGCAACTTATCAAATTTGATTCATTCTCTATGCTATTTCTTCATCCGTCAAAATCAGAAAAACATGTAAAAAGATTTTTTCTAGACCTTATAGATACATGTCTTTCATCATATTCTTTGCCCTCTCGTTTGTTGCTAACTTTTATTTATATTTATACTCTATTTTGAACATGTCACTTGTTTTCTAACAATTATACAGATGTTGCGTGTAATATTGTATTCTAATATTGCACAAGGCATTGCGAAGCATGTGAAGCATATCTTTATGTCTTCAACAATTGTGTTGTCCATTCAACAAAGTGATAACAAGTTTTGTTTTTGCATTGTGCAGGTAGCACATCCTAAAAATACATGCACTTATGAAGTTATGAACCTTGTTTTAGAATTTGATTATATTTGCCACAAGCATCAATTAGAGAAGATGTTTTTTACTATGCAATTGTAGCATCACGTTGTGGTCCAAAATTGTTTGAAATACACTTTGTGATCAACTTTAGATATAAACGTAGATAGTGAAATACAACTTTGTTGGATTGCTAAATAACATTGATAATATCTTCAAAAATAACTTTGTTGTTTTTTTGTAAATTGACTAAGCTTGACTTTTCTAGCCGTTGTCTAGGTAGCTTGCACACTTATGATCACAAAAGTAGTCGTATAAAATATCTTGATAATGGTTGAGCTTTTAGCTTCTAAAGTTAAATCAATCTTATACTCTTTGGTTCCAATTGATACAATCTTTTTATTACTAATCACAAATTTTTGTCATATTGACAAACGTGCATAAAACAGTTGAATTTAGTCCTGAACTTATAGTCTGTTCGGGTTGTTCACATTTTAAGAATGAAAACATCGATCAAATCTTTCATAGTTGTCAAATTGTTACTCCAATTATATATGTTGGGACAATTTTTAGTCTTGAACTTCCAATATCCGCGACTTTTTTTCACATTCTAGGAGTGAATACAACTATCAAATTTTTTCAAAGTTGTCAAAGTGCTCCTCCAATCTTATACATTGGGCCTCTACTTGAACTTCTTTTTGACTTTTTCCAACCAAATCGACAAGTTTATTTTTTTGCTCTTCAATCATCGTCTAAGCGAAGTATCATTCAAAGATTGTTGACCATAGAAGAGTCATCCAAAAAGCATTGGATATACAAATCATTACATGATCATTATAATAGTACGCATATCAATAATTCACATTCTTGTTCATATTATGAATGTCCAAATCTCTATATGTAACATGTAGCTAAATTTAATACACTATGTTTGAAAGAAAGGAAGAGAAAAACAAATCAAAAAAAATTGGAGAGCATATGTCCAATAAGAAAAAAAGATTTTCAAAGCCAAAACCTATGTTGGAAAAAAAAACAAAAATAAAGTTAGATAGAAAAAGTTTGATGAGACAAAGCAAATGAATTGCGTTGAAACTTTACAGTATCATTAGAGTTCAAATCAATAGCGTCAGTCATTTGAATTTCCTCTGCAAGCAAACCTCTAAACATTTGCATATCACAACAAACATATTTTGATAATCGAAAAAAATCTTCGTATTTCCATATTGTAATGGAGTAGTTAATGTTGCAAAATAGTACTGCGTTTATTTAAAATTGTCTCAATATTTTGTTGTTATTCTGCATGGCTTCTAATTTTACTCTATGCAGCAATAGTTGCATATAATTGACGTCTTAGTTTAAGCAAAAATCATGCACTGAGGAGTGAGAGATGTCATTATGAATAACTTTTTTTATCTCATCTTATTTTTCACAAAGCATATCCGACAAGAACATATTTCACAAGTTGGTTAGGACTATCTTACCTTCATAATCACAACCTAAACCTTCTAATACCCCAAATTAGCAAGTGCGTAGTGTAAGACCGCTAATTGTATTAGATTGTATTTGTAATTGATTCATTAGAAATAATTAAAGAGTTAATCATGGTTGATTTAGTTATGACCAATTTTAGCAAGTTATGATTCTAGCTATGAATTCTATACTTGGAGAAATAGTATAATAATTCTAGAAGTTTTGAGTAGCACTACTATTTTTTCTCCTATCAAAGTCTAGATTCTAAAGAGAAAAATGTTTAACTACATGTTAGTTTTCATTAGTTAGATTAAAATTAAAATTGATTTATTGGCAAGTAGAAGTTATAAAAGTTTCAAGATCTCAAATGATATGATGCCATCTCAACCTAGGATTAAGCAAACTTCAAGAAAATTTAATTAAGTACAAGGAAATTTTGAGAAAGTTTAGGTAGACCAATGACATGTAGTCACATAATGTGAATTAGTTAAATCTAAAAAATGTGTATCTTGATAAAAGTAAGTTTAATAGTAATTAGCATGTATTATTATGAAAAATGTTCAAGTAACATTAATAGATACTTTAAAAAGAGAATCTCAAGTAAGTTCTTTGTGTGAGTAATTGTTTCATTAATATAAGATTTAATCATACTATCGTTTTGGAGTTTTGATGAATGATTGGAATAATGAGTGAAGAGTTTATACGAGAATGTATTTAAGACATGAACATGTTGAGTAATCATTGTATTTTAGAATTATAGTGAGCTTTAAAAAAATCATACAAGGTAAACCTAAATGATAGTAAGTCCGGAGTTTATAGTACCATTACAAAACTAAGGATAGTTTTTGATATGATTTGTGTCTTTGTCAAGAATTTTTTCCCATAATATGGTACAATGCCTGACATATTAACAAATTTATCCAAACACTCAATCAATTATCAAGATAGACTTAGATAAGAACATTTTTAGACGTAGGTAGTCACATTATACTTACAATTATTTTCTAGGACGGTATCAACTGATAGATTGATAACTATATATTGTAATTTTGATTTCAAAACTTCTTTCAATATTTTATTTCTTTCTCAAATTGTGTTACGCAGTGCATAATAGATAAAGATATAATGATAAAAAGATGTATTTTCAACTGTGTAATGTATTTATTCAATCAATCAAGATGAAATCTTAATATATTTTGAATCAATCAAATTTTGGCATTCTCATGTGTCTAGTGTGTCAATCTTGAGAGCTTTGAGAGTTGAACAAGAATAATTGTTATCAATAAGTCCAACATAATCTACATGAATCGGCTAAAATGTCATTCATAGTCATATAATTATTTTTTTGATGTGAAAAAATGGAATTCTAACCAAAACGGGTTGAAAAAAGCTAAACTCTAATCTTCATAGATAGAAGCTAAAAAGTTCTGAAGTATTGATATTTTCCTATCTTAGTTTAGGTGAATTGTGCTGAGACAAGTCTGGAATGATCTTTATGACAAATTTAGATATGCATCATATGAGCAATTGATTCAGAGCAAGCCTATCATACAAGCGCTCAATTTTCTCTCTCAACTCGGGTCATTGCTTGTGTACCCAAGAACTTTGTTTTTACTAGAATATGAGTGACTGTGTGCGTTGAGAAAGTCCCATCCGGAAAAATGATACTTTTTAAGTAATGATTCCATGAAGCAATTTCTCTTATTTTGTTGATGTCATATTTAAAAATATTGAATAAATAATGTTTTTGAAACAATAAAATGTTTTAAGTCATTATATTCATTGAATCATGTATTCTTGGCTACAGAGTTTGTGTTATTCAATACATTTCTTTATCTTAATCATATGAAGTATGGTGATGATACAAAAACAAGGACAAAGATGCAAAGAAATTAGAGTTTGAATATCGTTTTGCTGACTAAGTTGTTTATTTGATCTAAATGAGATAGAAAATATTCACAGAAAATTGCAAAGCTCATGAGAAAAGTTGCGTGATGGCTAAGTAATGAGTCCCATATAATAATATATGAGTATATTGAGATGATTTTAGGAATGAGACTTAAAATTCCATAGTGTGTGTATGGAAATGTTCTCAAATCATTTACGAAGGATGCAATTTATGATTTAACTGACATATGATTCATGTTTGTATTTAAACTCAAATTGCAAAGATTATATAACTGAATCTTTAAATACATTAAAAATTTACACATATCGAAATCAATGTAATGTGATGATAGTATACACTTTCATTTCATGTTAAACAGAGCGAAATGTTTGGATTGATTTACAGTGATCTTGGTAACAAAGAGCAGCTAGGAATTCGAAGCTCTCTATTCACTCTCTGTTCATTTTTTTTCATTCCCTCTGCAGTCTTGGCCAAATGGCTGCCCGGGCTTCCGGAGTCCAACAACCACGTTCGTGATTCGACACGCAGAGCGTTCGGGCGTCAGAAGTCAGAGGATTGGGAGGTCGACTTAATTCAGGCCGTGGATCGAAAACCGCGATACGAGTGTGGACGTAATGCTCATGCTGACTGCGGACAACACGAGAAATTGATGCCCCCGTTGAGCGGTGAAGCTAGGACCTATTCTACGCTCGGTGATGGGCGTACACTCTGTGTCCGACGATCGGGAATTCTGAGATTCGCTTTGTGAAAGAGAAGTACATTGTCCTGCTTCGAGCCGCCGCTCCTGTGACGGTATTGGCCGATCCCTGCAATGATTAGTGCTCGTACAGAAATTGTGCTGCTCGAACGGAGCAGGACTTTCGGAGGATATTTTATCATCAACATATTTGTACGGTGGTAGAGCATGGAGCAGTAATGGCTAGACGGATGTCGACACAGCGAGCAAAGGCTTCGTCTGCTCACGTGGTCTACAAGATGCAGAATATTCCAACACCTTTCCCACCTCTATTAACTTTTCTTGTCTCTACTCTCGACCTTCATAAATCCAACAGAAACCGCGAGAAATTTTTTGTACCGAAACGATTCGCCCCTCGAGAGACCAGAATCATAACTCAAAATCGACATCAAGGTTCACCTGCCGAAATGACATGAATTGTTGTCAAAGCTGGGCTGCTAAAGTGTGTTATCGTGATACTGTACTTCTCAGCTACACTGATAAGCCAGAAGAATTAGACACCACCAGAGAGCTGAATTACTTGTGAGGAGATCTGGAGCTGTAAGCGTACTCAAGGCGAAAGCATGGTCGGTTATACACGTCACGCCTAGCGGTGTGTTTTCCCATGGCCATGCACAAATGTCACTGAGCGATATGCAGCGGCCTGGAGTTCTTTCCCGAGCGTGCATCAGACTGTACAGACTCCCATCGCAGCATTGTACTATATTTCAACTTCTCTTTTCCGCACCATTTTCATGTGCAGAATGTACCCCTCAAAATGATGACCCCTAAATTTCTTCCTAGAGTAACGAGTTGCCTCGTGACCTTGAGATCGCCCGCCAGCGGTCAAAGTCCATACGAAGACTGCCCACGAGTCACGAGGTCGATACAAAGTCCTCGGCTATATAATCCATTTGCAAGTCATACGATGCAAGCAAGCCAGCATCGGCTCGATGTCCACACCTGCTGAAGGAGCTGGTATTTTTTGTGCAGACCATCCTGATAGAGAGAAAGAAATCACGAACAGATCCTCAGCTTGAAGGACTCATATTTACCATATATTTGACAAACGAGTCGGTGGTAGCGGATCGGATCCATTCCTTCTGAGGCAATCGACGGCTCTGTGAAGGAGAAGCTGATAGGATTTGCAAGATACTGGTAAATATGAATGCACTTTCGTCTACCGGTAGCTTCTTCCTACTGGATGATCCAAATGCGCAGCGTCGACAGACGAATGGATCTGGAGCAGGTGCTTTAATAAATGTCAGGATGATGTCGGTGCGAGATGTGGCTCCGCAGGGGGCCATCAGAGAAATCTCCCTCCAGTTGTGGGATACCAAAAATAGCCGGAAATTATGGGGCTCGGGCTCGGCTTCAGCTGGCTGCCAAAACCTGGCCATGCGACAATGCCACTACTTCACAGGGAGTAGAACTCCATCTCTGACCGCGGCCATTGTGATACCATCCAGCACGGAGGACCGGCTTCATTCAGCGATCGCTATGGCAGGACTTTTTGGCACCCGACTGAGGAACCCCCTGAAACTAGAACGAGAGCATGTCCTCACCGAACAACAAGTTTCCAAGGTATCATTAATTCGGAGAGTCGATCACGTTCTGTCTCGAAATGCCATATTGCCTTGTTTATAAAAACTTCTGTTCATCCAGCTTCGACTGAAGAGTCTGGTTGTGTAGACGGCAATGTTCTTCTCCACTCATTCCACGACTGTCCACTATGTTCACGTCTGCATTCCTTCATGCCCGAGAACTCGTCTCGACAAGGAGAAGCATAGATGTCGTTGGGCTCCGAGTCCAAACTCGAAGAATGTCACTTCGTTTCTGTTAAGGACCAGTTTCTGCGATTTCCATCAAGCCATTACGTTATTTCCCTCATTTCCCGGGGCCATGTGTTCCCACTCATCCGTCCAGCTCTATCCATCCATCTCGCTCTCCTGTCTGTTTTTCAGTTGCCCCAGAAATCTAGGTTGAGACATTTCAGTAGTCTTGTGAAAGCACAAGCGTTGATCGCAGCTGATTTAAGTGACGTACATTGCCACAGGCGAAAGAAGCATTCGACAAATTCATCGGATCCGTGCAATCGAATCCGGAGAGGAGAGAAGGAGCATACCCATACTACCTTCTGCACAAACCTGGAGAATCCGTGTATGGAACAGTTTTATTTTTCCATGGCTTTTCAGCCAAGCCCGATCAGATGTGGCGGCTTGCTCAGTACTTATTCGACAATGGCTTCAACGTGTACCAACCTGCGCTAGCCAACCACTATCTCACCAACCCTGACAAGAACTGGCCTCAGGTACGTCTACGTACGCCCGTTCAAGGCTTCTCCAATGCTCGTTAAAGGCTAGCGATGACTAGCATAGCATGTGTAAAAGATGGCAGGCGTGGTCTACTTCATCAGGTCACGTCGGTCTCTTCGCAAGATATAATTGTGACGAATTGCAGAACAACACGCCGGATCATTACCGACCTTCGCCGTCGACTCAAGTGGCCAGAGCAACATTTTATCATTGATCTACTGAACCCGTTCTTTCAATATCCTTGCCTTTCGATCTCCATGTCAAGTCCTCGAATATGAGTTGTCACTAGAATACGAGTTTCGCCCTTCACATCCTTATCTTAGCTGTGGCAGCATCTCGTCCCAGAGCATGGGCAATGATGCGATCGTCGCTGGGAGATGGATCATGCACAGTAGTATGTACCCCTGGCTGATAGCGCAGGACACCTCCTCGAAAGTTTGGAACTCCTAGACCCGGTCTCATTATACTCACAAGTTCCTAGCTCTGGAGGTCTGCATGTGTTGCTTCTGAATTTGAATCAGTCTGCATCAAACTAAATAGCGGCCGGTCAATGCTATGTGAAGGAATTATGAATTATGAGAGGTGTTTTGTTATGCTCGTATGCGCAGGTCGATCTTAAACCACAATGGAAAGGCCCAATTCGAGAGAAGTGGTTACAGGATCCAGTGCTAAAGGGTGCTATCGATAGCCTTGGCGGCCTCACTGAAGTGACTCAAGAGCAGGTGTGCAGGATACTGGATAGATTTTCTCTTGCTCACAAAAGTTGTTGACAGTCAGACGTAGATGTTGTCCTTTCACCACATGTGCTCTTGTGATTGGATGATACGGTCCAATGTGAGTCCTCGACAGTTTGAATCTCGACCTGCAATTCTGCTTCCTCAAAATTGACAGGCTGTCCTTTTTTTTTGTGAATCTCCCTGCAGTTGGATTTTGTATTAAACAGAGTAATGGCTCTGTCACCGGATATGGACGATATTGTAGACGCGATAAATGATGGAGACTATACAGCCGCATTCAAGAAGTAAGTATGAGCTCCTACCATGGACAGATGAAACTCACGTCAGCCTCTGCCTAGTAACAACCTCTGCCGCGTAAACTCGAACCTCTGCCAACTCCCTTTGACTGTGACAGGTACTTCGATTCCACCCACTTGAAATACGTGGAGGATGCGGAGGCACGCCTGAAGGAATGTGAATCACTTCCAGGTCCCGCGTTCTCCATCGGACTGTCTGTGGGAGGAGCAGCTGCTTTGGCCCTTGGTGCCCATCAACCGGACAAAATTGCCAAAGTTGTCGCTTATGCTCCACTTTTGAGGGTAAGATCACTGGCATACTTCTTCAGGTTTCCTGTGCGCAAGGAGGTTGTTTACCTCCGGGCCATCTGAAGACAAAGCGTTCAGTCCAATTAAATGTGCACATTACTGAAACACCCGTCTGCTCAGCCGTGGCAGTCGCTTTGCACTCGAACTGCGCATTTGGAATTTTGTTCGGTGAACGTCTTCATCGCTATTGGAAGACATGGCTGACATTGTTCATATGTGATCGTGAACAGCAAGTAGGTGAAGTTACAAGACAAGCCTCGCTAATCGCAGGCCCACTGGACGTGAAGAGATATGGATGGGATCCCAACTTGCAGTTTACAGTGGGTTGTTACGCCGCCAGTGATGTGTTCGGAAGCCACGTACTGAAGGAAGCTGACAAAATCGCTTCAATTCCCACTTTTCTGATGCTCACTGAGAACGACGACTCGGCCGACATTCCTACCAACAAAGCATTCAACGAGCATCTGAATGCCCTATCAGGTCTGCTTTCTTCACCCACGAGCGAGATCCGCCCATAATCCATCGCCATCGGTAGTTCATACTGCTGAAAGCGCCATTTTCACCTAGAACTTCCACAATCGGTGGGTTGATCGGTTCGTGCGAAGAGATTAGTGAAAGTGAAGATTTGACGGACTGCTGTTCTTGCAGGACGATCAGGAACACCCCATTTGCAGGGCATGTACACCGCCGATATGAGAGTACCGCATCCGATGGTGGATCCCGTGGAGGTACGTACGCACAACCATTCTTCTGCCCGTCAAAGTTGCCGGCAATCAGTGTCACAGGTTTGCCACTCTCTTCCGAGCTAACTGTTCTCGCGCTTCGGATCGGGATTGCAACTGCAGGTGAGTCAGAACATGACGAACAGATACTGGGCAAGCCTATACCAGGAGACATTCCGTTTTTTGACCCAGGGAGTCGTGAACCAGGCGCAGTTGAAAAGTCAGTCGCAGGATTCATCATTACCTGCTGTGCCCCCTGTTTAGGTGGATTCGAAAAGGAGGTCGAATCGCTGATAGTTAGTAGTAGTTGACAGCATTGCTCTACCCTTTCCGCAGTAGGCACACTATTGATCAGGAGGACGATTGATAGTCGATCAGGATCAGGACTGCACTACGAGATGACCTGACTCTGCTTTTCATGCCCCTGTGCTCATGCCAAGTGTTGACAATTACAAAGGGAACCAGAGCAATCTCGTGAAATGAGTTGCGACCTGCTCCGTTCCATGCCAACCCCATCGCCTCCGCAACACTGCGCCACAGACAACGACACAGACATCTCTCACATTGTCTGTGGTTTGAGTTCGATTGAGATCATGTATACCTTTCGTGTTTCTGTTGCACGATCCGGTCAGGTTCTGCTGTTCTCGCTGAATGTAATGTAATATAATCTGATCTTGAGCATAAATTGACACCCAGTTATGCTTGCATGATGGAAATGGTTGCTCGCATTTACATCTTCCATTATGGTCTGTTTGAGTTCATAGCTCAACTTGCGTGAGAAATTTTAGAACAGGAATGTTAGTTCGATGGTAAACCTCTCGTTCAGGATCAAAAGTGGAGCTTGGTCACTGTGGATGTTTCTTGACAAGGTTTTGTTTTCCAGACAGTAATAGAGCTTGTTACTATAGTAGAAGATTATTTAAGAAAAAAAAATTTTATTGGGTGTGACTTGCAGGTTTGGAATATTTTGTTTGCGAGTTTTGAACGAGATGTAATGGATATGTTTAAGAAGCTACATAGCGTAAAAGATCAAACAGGCAGGGGATTTTGGATATGAAAATAGTCTGGTTGGTGTAGTTGGTATCACGCTAGTCTCAAAAACTAGTGATTCCCGATTCGAGCCCGGGATTAGACACTTTCTTTTGGCTATTTCTGCTTTTACTGTGCTTATTTTCATTGAAGCATGGCTCTGGGACAAAATTGATGGTGCTACAACTTGTCACAATTAAGAAAAAATGATTTTGTTGTTATGCTGCAACACGTATATTGGCGGTTACTTGAGACTGGAAGAATCCTTTTCAATATCACTGTTGGAGACGATGAAATGTGATTAACTGGCATGCGCGTGAAAAAGTCTTAAAATGGACTTTTTCAAAGAAGATGGTTCGTTCTTTGTCCAAAATTTTGTCGAATTTCAAAATTAAATGGCAAAGTAATCCGTGGACAGACGCAGCTTATTATCTATCTTGAAAAATTCTGCACGATGAAAACTTTAGAAGATCATTAGTAAAACTAATAACTGTTTTTTCTTGGCTCTCTCCTCCTGGTTTTCTTCCATGTACGGGAGAAGAATTTTGAAGATAAGGTTTTAAGCATCTCATTAAATGCATATGCTCGTAATATATCGTAACAAAGATGAACGAACAGAAAATAAACAAGTTGGTAGTGGAAGGCACAAATAACGAACAAAAAAACAAGGAGATCAAGGCCACCGAATTAACAGTTGACACAATTCGGCGTTTAGACGATACTTCCACCGACACATTTGGATCTTATCCTAGCCAAAAACTTTCGTATCCAATGTCAAATTTTATAAATACCTGATGATATACACAAATATAATTTACATCCTTGAAAAAAAATTAAAAAAGTTGACAGTAACGGAGAGATCAAATTAATACCGGCACTGTGCAAGAAGATTGAAAAAGTATTCTTATACACTGTACAATTGCTGTCCAAATAGGAGAATACATGTGTCTGCGATTTAGCCAATTACTGTCAATTTGGCTGTTTTTTTTTTCAATGTCTTTACCACATATTTAGTACATACACAGCCATACATTCGAAAACCTGTACCCTCAAAATTACAGTAAGTGTGTCATACAATAATTACTTTTATTCTGTTAAGTTTATGTCCATGGCATAAAGTTACTTTTTTATCAAGTGGAAGATAATGGACATAAACGTATTGCTTGTATCTTAATTTATATTTTGATACAAGTTTTAATCTCAAAATATGTCAATTATACGGAATAATACAATAATTTGAGATTGATATGTTCAAGATTTTGTTGAAGTTTGATGTGCTTTCCCGATTGAGTTCTCATGCATACGCCAATACCACTCTATTATTTTTCATCTATGACCATAATTCAAAAATTCACAGAAAATATTTATTTTAATCATTTTAGTTAAGAAAATTATGAATAGAAACATATTTTTTATTAAATTTAAATTTGACTTGATTTACATATTAGAATTGGATATTCAAATATGTTGTTATGTTTCAATTTTCAAGTTATTATTATTATTTATATTGTTAAAATCTGGAATAATCCTTTATTATAAAAAATTATATTCATAAAGTAAATCATAAAATTTAGGGCGGTTAATATTTTCTTTTTAATATTCTATAAGATTTGAATTAAAAAATTGATATATCTTATGATATACATGAGAAAAATTTTATGCAGCTATTCAAATAATGAATAAAAATTTTATGAAATGAAGTACTTATTTTATTTATTTATCTACATTGACATCTATGTATTTGAACTCCGGTAAATTTTCCTATTTTTTGGAAAAATATTTAAATATTTAAATATTTGAATTTTGTGTATATAAAATGCAATGGCGAATAAAAATTTAATTATATTTCAATTATTGAAAATCTTTGTTTTCTCTGAAATAAAATTTGATGTTTCCAAATTTTATGAAAGTTTCTTTTCATAAAAATATGGATAGAAATTATTCATGTTACATTTGTACAAATTTTTAAATTTGATATATTATGAGTGAATAATATTTAAAAATAATTATTATTTTCTATAAACTATTTAGTAATAATAAAATAGTATAAAATTTATAAAATATATTTTATAAAATATAAAATAATAGCAATAACTTGTAGTGTACTATGTATTTAAGATGAATGTGTTTGTTGACAACTACGTATGAACGATGTGTTAACTTGTGTGATAAAAGTTTGTTAATCAAGAGTGGTAAGTAGTCAACTATGTGATTGTTATATATATTGAATTTGTTAGTTGGTACATTCATTAAGTAACAAGTAATTAATTCTAGGCTTGTTAGATAGTTTGAATTTGTTAACCAGTGCGATCATTAAGAGTAATAAGCAATCAATCTTGGGATTGAGTATGTCAGTTTATGTACTAATTAAAAATGACACGTTTGCAATATATATTCTTGTTCGATAGATTTATCAAATTATCAATTTAGATATAATAATCTAGATCAGTATTGGTTTTTACCAATACTGAATGGCCTTTTATTATACTAAAAAAACAACTGGTATCGCAGGAAAAAATACGCGATGATTCAAACAATGGTTGGAGTGGAAGTCGCTGGCAGGTACTACCAAACCACAACGAGAAGCAACGCGAAAGACCAGAGCGCTAGGAGGATAGGAAGAGCGTATATTCACGGAGTCCAGAAGCCAATAAATAAGCAAGAAAACAAAATCATGTCATATGTATTGAAAAACTTTATATAAATGGTAAATGGTAATAGATCAAGCCCGGGGGACCCAAAGGGTCAAAAGGCTGAAAAACACAATATAAAAAGTATAACCATAATTCTAGATATTTTATGTTTCATTTTCAAACTAACAGATTTTTAATCCTTAATGTTATAATTTATAGTAGTTGTTGAGAAGAAGATTGATAATTTTGAATATAATGATGTGACATAAAAAACTTTACCTGATAAAATAAATACAAAGCATATAATTTGAAGATCTAAAAAAGCAATTTATTTATGATTTAGTTTACACCATTTTTCAAAAATAAAATAAAATTTAAATTTAAATAAAATAAAACCATATAAATGTGATGAAAATGTTGAAAAATTTGAAATATGGATTGATCCATTAATGTTTTGGTATTAAATTTAAAAGAAGATATAGTCAAGATAAATTATTCATCTTGATAAATGAAAGATACTGCTTATTCAAAATGCTTATCATATAAAGCATGAAATGATTATTATGTTAATAATATATAAAGAAAACTAGAAACTATTGATGTGTTTGTATATTGATTTTTGAATGAAAATAATTGATTATTTAAATCAAGAAAAGAAAAAGAAAATTTTTTGATATTTATTGCAAAATTAATGACTTTTAGATTTCTTTTAAATGAAATGAATATATAGAGTTTTTGATATAGCAAAACATGTTATAATTTGACTAGTACGTTTGTTTCTTGTGAGATTTCATTATTATAATTTGGATAGATTTATTTCGAATAATTTTTATTGAGATGTTGAAATGACATACATTTATAAATATAAACTTTATTTTAAAATGATTTTGTAGATTGCTGAATTTTCTATGGATTAACGAAAATTGATAGAAAAAACACAAATAAATTCATTAAATAACAAAAAAATTCGTCAAACTTTTTATATATATATATATATATATTATAAATTTAAAACCTAGATCCATTTTCTTTTATTCTTTTACCTTTATATGAATGATGATTTATTTTGATAACATAAAAATTGAAATTTAAAATATTAAAGATTTAATTAAAATATGTATTGAAGATATATTTTAATAAGTTTCAAATGAAAAAATTAGCAAATATTTATAGAAATTAAAAGAAAATGAAAATATGATTAAATATAAAGAAAATATTCAGTGTGTGTTTGAAAAAATCAAAAAGTTCAAAAAAATTGGATTCTTTATGATCATTTTAATATTTTATAATTTCAATTATTTATAAATATATTTTTTATGTTAAACTGTTATCAGTTTTTTTAAATTAATGATATCAAATTATTATTCAATGTAATTTTGAGATTAAAACACGCGACAATAATATTTTATTTTTCTTATAGTCAAAGCTCATTGAATTTTGTCCAAAATACATAGATATTGTACATTGACATTATATATCATCTTATGTTTTTATAAAAAATTTTATATAAGAAATTTGAACCGAATAAGATTGATTAGTTATATAATTCTATAATCCATTTATCAGATTTATTTGTTGGAAACATTTTAGATAATATCATGTCACAATGCAAAATTTGCATGAAGAGTATATGTAGAATCAAAAAATTCAATAGCTTGAACAAAAATTCAATTTAGTGGAACTTTATGTGTGTGCATTTTTTTGTGAAGATTGATTTGGCTTAAGAAAATTTACTTGTCATATCTTTAATGTGATGTTCTTATTAAAATTTGATGGTGTTTATTTTGTGTAGTCATGTTTGGGACCGATGATTGACAAAATAGATGAGTGTTGAGAGTATGTAAGTCATGTATATGTCTTGATAAATTAATTCTTATCTTTCATCATAAACATGTGACGGCACAAGACAATTAATTTTTTGTTTTGTATATTAACACAAGTAGAGTAGATTTGGTTGGTTTTGTTTGCATATGAAGTATACAGTTTGTATGTTCACTTTTGGGCTACTTTTTGGAGTTGAGACTTCAATAAGGTGGCTACAATGGAGAATAGCTAATGTAAGGTTTCATATCTCTATAGTGGTTTTGGATAGCTTGTAAATTAACCCAAAAATGTATAGAAATAAAATTATACATATAGAAGAAAATCTTCATAATGTTAGATTTATGTTTGATAATGTAGGTATTGTGATGTAACATTGTTTTATTGTATGATTTGATGTGTATGTTCCCAACACACGAGAGTGTTGGTTAAATTGATGATGGAAACAAATACCAAACTTACTTGTTCCATTAGCAATAACACATGTCCGGTGATTATTTTGTTTGCCAGCAATTTACAGAGCGTTGAATACATTATTTTGTCTTTGAAAAACAAACATTATATTCTCTGAGAGTTCTATTCCCGCTATTATTTGTATTCCGGTAGTCGTATCTCTTATTCTGACACACAATTTTCTAAGTCGCAATCTTTTGCTGAAATCGAGAGCCACTGCAGCAGGGGAAGTCGGGAAGAACTTACAGTTATAAAAAATTTAGCAGCCATCATTTTACCAAGCCAAAAAATATTGACAGCAGTCGCGGAGGAGGGCAAATAAACGGCTGGATTGGGTAGGCAGTTGTAAATTTCCTCCGAAGCGAACAGGGAAAATAAACAAACCGCCGATGATCACCGGGCAGGATAAACGAACTGTCAGAAATGGACAGGAAAAAACAAAAAGACTTCTCGAAATTTTCCCCTCCTGTGGGCAGAATCTGTCGGGAATTTACGGGGACTGTGCTTTAACCTGGTCTTGTACCTGCTGGTAACGTTGCAGATTGCCGGTAAAGGTCTCAAATCGTCGAAGGTCGCAGAAAGAGTGAAGAGAACTATGATGGTATGTGCCTTAAGCACGATTGATCCTTACGCAATGTCAGATGTCACTAAGGACAAGGAGTGCAGAGGAAGTGGATTATGTCAGTCATCAGCTGCATAAAATCAAAATTTTGTCTGTCCCAGTGGAGCTTGCGCATTCCCCTCGCGGCTCGTGCGTGTGGCGTGAGAATGAGTCCATTGAGATTGACGAGGTGAACAAGGCGACAAGTCGATGGTGAACACGCACAGGACGGTGTCAAAGATCCTTCGGCTTGGAACACCGTGTGGGAGTTACTGGAACGCGAGGAAGGAGTTTCTCACGTCGTCCCTGCACACCTTGCTTTGCACGATGTGCCGGCAGAGGAACTCGGCTCATGGACTAAGAGCTTACAGCTGAACGTTGATTTTCACTGAAGGCACCACGAACTGTGGAAAGTCCACATCTGATGGCTACTTGTTGGATTGGACTCCACCGAAATCAGCAGTCAGCACGCGGGGCAACTTGAGAATACTATCAACGACAAGCTGGGAATCTTTGGGCTTTCTCCTCCCCTGCCTCTTCAAGGTGATCAAGGAAGGAAGATGAGTGAAGATGACTCTGGTTTGGTATCTGAATGCAAATTGCACATCTTGGCTGGAAATGGACAATAAATTGCACTTTATTTCAAAGTTGCATCCCAAGAGACACGTTTATCTTAAATGGAAAAAGGTCTCGTCCATTAGTCAACCAGGTGGAAAGAAGCAATTGGCTTCCTCCTGTGCCGGCTGAGAAGACGGTGAGTTGCCAGCCACAAGCACCTTTCACCTCTCACCTACACAAGACATATGTTTTTCCACTTCTAAATTCCAAATACGACAGGGCTAATGAGAAGTGAAAGCTGGAAAGGGAGGTGCGAAAATATAGCCGAGATGATCCGCCGGCAAGCTACGTGGAACATAGGTCCCTGCACCTTTCCTCGAGGAGAAGGAAAAGCAGAAGCGAGCTGAAGTCCGAAGTCTGAATGGCTCCATACGACGCGCGAGTTCACAGCTGCAGACGCTTGTGCTCAAGACAGAGAGAGAGACAGCCTCTCATCTCAGAACCGCGCCGTTCTGTGAGGATGCCAGCCAGCCAGCAGGGATGGACGGCGAAAGACTGCGAATCGTTCCCCGCAGCTCGTGGTAGAAACCAGAGCCGATTGAGCTCTTAATGAGAAATATGCACAATTAAATGCCTGCCTTACGCGTGGCGAATCCATTTGAGAGATCACCTAGGCGCCATGAACCGCAACCATAGCCCGTGGCAAGCACCATATCCACTACGGTACTTTCGATCCCTTGAGCAATATTACCAGGTTCCGAGTCTACTAGACTACCCTCTCGTAAAGAGAGTAAGGTTGATTCCAGGCTCCCTTTCTTCAGCTTGCGGCCCACAAATTTGGGTGCAATCAGGTGCGGGTCCATCTGCCTGTCTTGAATCTCTTCCCGTCGCGTGTCTCGTGGAGAGGAGAGGAGAGGAGAGGAGCATATGAGGCCGTTTGGCATCCGCCAGGGGTACAGGTACTGTAGTTAGAGGCAGGGGAGGGGGAGGAAGGACGAGCAGCCATCTCTCTTCTTCGTCGCGCGAGAGGAGGAAGTCTGACTTGCTGGACCAAAGCCCCGTCCACGTCAGGCATCCGGCACCATACACATCGGGGTCCCACTTGGCAGTCCACGTAGGCTCACGCCACCTGGACACGCTCATTGGCGTCGGTAATGTTGAGTGATTAACAAGCTTCGCGCACGACGACCGACCGGACCGATCCGACCGTGTTTGTCCGTTGGTTGCCGATGCCACTTCCTCTGCTATAAATCGCCCCACTGTTGCTCCCATTATCCAGCCGATTCATCTGACCCTCTGTGTCTCTGTCTCTCGCTCTCGTACTCCCCCGATCCCAATCACTCTCCGCTTTCGATTGAGTGCTCGACGGACCTGTTTCTCGTTCTATCAATCCATCGTTCGAGGTCCGAGCCTTCAGCTGCAGCGAATCCCTCTCTCTATCTCATCTCTTCTCTTCTCTTCTCTTCTCTTCTCTCTGTAGGCATAGTGTGTACAGACTACCAGGACTAGGAAACCACAGCACGAAGTAGACGCATCACGTGAAACAATCCGCCAAGCTTGCCAATAGACTCGACTTCGGCGAGATCTGTGAACCAAATTTAATTCACCCAGGATCATCGAAGGAAGGAAGGAAGGAAGGGAAGGAGGAGGAGGAACCGATCAATTCGAGTCGATGGCTATCAATCCCAACGAGGTACGCACTTATCATGCTCTTGCAATCCGCCATGGTGCCAGCCATCAAGCCATTCTTGAAAGTAGAGGATCGAGAAAGTGATTTAGGCTCTAGAGCTCGTCGTCGCATTGTGTGTGTGTGTGTGGATTTGTGAGTGGCTGGTGGACTCGGAACTGAATTGCTTGCTGTCTCTCGCGCGCGCGCAGCTGTTCTACCGAGGCTACAACCCGGCCGCATTGGTCGCTGGGTACGACGATACGTGGGCCGTGGAGAGCTACCGAGAAGCTCCGGTGAGGAAAACAGCGCCAGCGCCAGCGCCGGCGAATGTGAAGAAGGAGGAGAAGAGCGGCGGCGCATTGCAGTGGGGATACTTCGGCGAAAATGGTCCCCGGGGCAAACAGCGTCCGATGACGCGAAATGTGAGCTTTCAAGATGAGAAGCCCGGCAACGGAGGGGCAGCATTGCAATCGCGCTCGGGGTATTTCGGAGAAAACGGCCCCCGGGGAAAACCGCTCAATGAAAGCGTGCAAGAAGAGAACATCGGCAAGGGCGGCGCCAAAGTCCACTCGGAAAATTTTGGAGAAAATGGCCCTCGCGGAAAGCCGAGCCCCGTGACGAGAATTGCGAGCTTGCAGGAAAGAACGAACACGTACTCTGGTTTCGGTGGCAATTGGTTCACGGGACGACGACCTGCTGTCACTAGAACTCCGTTACTGCAAGACCCAAAGGCTGTGCTTGAGAAGAAGGGCATCGTCGAGCTGAGAATGCCTCTATGTTGCGAAGGATGCGTGGAGAGGGTGCAAAAAAAGTTCAAATCTCTGAAAGGTAATATCGATTGTTCAAGTACTCGGGAAGAATTCGTCTAATTATAATACTTCCGTCCAATCCTCTTGGATCCAATCTCACAGATTCTGGTCGTCTGCCTGCAGGTGTTGCATCCGTCGAGTGCAGTCAGGAGAAGCAGAAGGTCGTCGTCAGGGGAAGTGCTACCCCGGAGGAAGTTCTGAAGAGAGCCCAGGCCACATTGTCGAGATCCTCATTCTGGGAGGAGGAGGCGATTCCACCACAATGATCGCTGTACGCGCAAGCATGACCCATATATTCTTTCGAATCTCGTCCCTCTTCATCCACGCACACGATTCGGCCATCGGTCGCCGGCTCCAATTCTTTCAAACTTGACGGCATCGTCGTTGTGGCCACGGCACTCGAGAAGTATCAGTCATTGTACAGACGAACGAGATCTTCTCTCAGAAGAGATTAGACGGCAGTGAGTTTCCGAGATGCGTTTCATTAGGCTATATACATGTTCCGTAGATGGTAGATGGTAGCAACGCTTCAAAATCGGCTTTGAAGTCAAATCTTTACTTGGATATTCACATCGATTTAGCAATTCTTTTCAAAGAGCTGTAACCACCATCTGATGTTAAATTACTCCTCACACAGCCATCAGTCAGGCGCATTACAAACGAGTATCCTTGTGGACGCTGGGAGTGTGAAGTATTAGGTTGCACTATCTTGATTTTCGTGTTCAGGAAAATCGCTGCACACGGTTAGCGTATGCAGTTGCCATTCGATAAAAGACAAGTTCATAAAATGTTAATAATTCGAGCAATTTCAGGACAGCGATCATTTGATCATTACTCGATGTTGTACAATTTCTCCAGATGTTCTCGCGCTTATTGCATGTCACTTCAAAGTTGAGCTCAATGAGTTCAATTTCCGCATGTCTCACCGTCGGATGAGGTAAAACTGGGTGAATAGTAAACTGAAATGTCCAGAGGTATAAATTATCGAAAAAACAAACAGACAATTTCATCTTCTGCACCAAGTCTCAAAATTATTGAAGCAAGCTTCGTTGGTACATCAAATTGTATTTTTCACTTAATAGTGAACTCAATATCTACATTAGCAACAGAGCAAAAAATCAGTATATCTCACTCACCACTAATCATTGTTGGATCTTAATTATTGTTAAAAACCATTTCAAATCCACACTCGCTGAATAAGAGGAAGAAAAAAATAGCAGAAGAGGAAAAAAAAAACATGCTCTGAAAATATATGATCATATTGTTTCTGCAATAAAAACCATAGAGTCAAATAATTGTTCAATAACCTTCTACGCTGCCCGAGGAAATACTGGAGAATATACAAAGTACCACATGAACAGACACAGATCTAAACGTTGAAACGCAAAATCACAAACTCAAATCATTGACAGTCATCTGTACGAATGATGGAGTAAAGGCAAAGCCGACCGTTCGATACATGGGGAGAAGAAGAGACATGAAACGCGAATGCTCGACAGTAAGACAAAGGAATGACGGTGCCAGGCTGTGCATTGTGGCGCAGCAGCAGTCCGTTCGCACACTGCCAAGTTAGACCTCGGGTCGACACAGACACGATGCAGGGAACGAAAAGGGCAGCGGTATCCGTTGGCTGTGTCGTTGAATCGAGGCTGGAAAGTGGGCCTCTGCCCTTCAACCAGGGCGGGCGGGCGTTGCTGCTAGGTCCTCGAGGCATGGCACGCCGCCGACCACCAGGCCAGCCGTTCCCGAGGTACGGAACCGAACAGAGCAGTTCCGTCCTTCCGCCGACGGCACAGAAGGGAAGGTCGCTGGACCGACCGCCGACTTCGAGCATGGATGTAGGCAGCGGGCAGCGGGCAGCGGGCAGGCTCGTAATTTCTGTTTTATAATCGAGTCGAGTTCGGCGATCGGGATTCAGGAGGTCGATCATCGGCGTCCGCAGGATCACCGGCTCAGTGCAGTTTGTCCGGCGGGTCGAGCCTGATATCCGAGGTTTTCCACACCGCAGTCAGTGCACGGGAGTTGAGTTGACCGCCGTGTACTCTTCCGACCGCCTCGTACAGGATATCTGTGCGTCGTCGGTCCCGTCCGTCCCGTCTCTCCAACATGTCTGTACCGGGAGATTTCGTGTTCAGCAGGCTGCCCGGAATCGCAGGTGGCGAGGAAGGGGCGAGAGACAGGGCGCGACATGAGTCATGGCCCCACGGCGGGGACGGATTCGCTCGGCCTGAGTGAGTGAGTGAGTGAGTGAGTGAGTGGGGGAGTGGGGCATTGGACTCGACGGGGACGCTTGGGATCTTTTACCTACTAGACGCATCGTCAAATTCCACGCGGCCAGTGCTCGGACTTTCGGGCGATTCCGAGCGCACTGTACGCTACAGCTAGCGCTACCACTGAATCGTCGCTGCTAGTGCCAGAGTGATTTGTTCACGTCGCTGACGACAGGAGTAAACCCTGGCGCTCGAACTGGCGGACTTGGTTCAGATGGCACACGCACGTTATCGTAACTGCATTTGACAAGTTCGTCACCGTGTTGAGATTTGATGTCTCGTTTGACTCGTTGCGCTCCTCCCGCCCTAAGAGTCAAGGAATCTCGCGCATCATTCCGGAGAAAACCCCACGCCGAAATGATCGGATTCTGTCCTCGAGTCCCACGTCAACAGCGCAATTTCTCAAGCTCGATTGAGAGGAAGGCAGAGAGGGAGGGCAGCGACTAAACCACCTTCGTCAACGTCGTATGTTGTGAGTAACTGGGTCGATTTATTTTTCGGTCCTCCCGCCTCCTTGGCTCATTCTACTGCTGATGATTTTTAGCTGAACAGCACAGCCGATTGTCGATCGTGTCGACCTGGGCTTCGCTTCGCCACTAACCCGGCCCCCTTCCGTCATTGTTGTCGCTCTCAACACTTCTGTACAACTCCTCTGAAGAATATTTGCGTCGACTGATCCAAAGACTGCCCCGGCGCGTTCTGACTGTGCCCTCTTAGGGGCTGGTGGAACAGGTTAAGTATCCCAGCTCTCGGCAGCTGGCTTCTCTTCAGCCCCTCGTTACATAATTATGTTCTATGAACCAAATGAGGCACATGGTGGACGAGTAAGTAAACGGAAGAAACTGTGAGAACAAGAACACGCATATATACACAGTAATATCTATATGGAGGTCAGATTAGTTCTCTTGGCAAGGAATTCCCAATAGAAACAAGGAGCAGAGATCCCGAGTTTCTGGACCTAAGCTCGACATGGGCCCACGAGTATGCCATCGATTGTCTCTTCTCCAGCCCCAGGTGATGCTGCATTCCCAATATTACCGGCATGTCAACAAAAGGTGCAGTGTAGGATTTCCCGGAACTCTCCTCGAGGATGCACCAGGATGATGATAATGCTTACTGCATATCGCGGAATTCCCTTGAAATTGGGAGCTCGGTGCAGTTACGTAGGACGCCAACTCAGGATCCGGGCCACTTCTTCAATGATAAGATATCATTTGATCGGGTCGCGCCCGATCAAAGGATATGATAGACTGCGCTCGTGTTTTTTTAAGGCCACGAGCTTCGTCGAATGTAAAGATGAGGGCACACATTAGCCTTTTGGATGGTCAGAGTGATAGACATGGCAGCCGTTATGCGAGCAACATTAACATCTACCGGGAGATCACTGAACCGAGTGCTTCGCAATGTCGTCAATGTCGTCAGCGCAAGTCATCTGTACGCGCTTCTGGTGAGTCCCACACGGAGATCGGGGGACAGAGGTGTGAACACATCCGCTGTCGTTACACTTGCCGCTGGAACGAAACAGTGTTCTTGCTATTCTTGCTATGTTTCGAAGAGCATATGCCTGCGCATCGAAACTCTGTCGCAGCTGGTCCGGACCTTGGAAACCTCCGACATTATCCTTCCCCGCTGTCGTTTACAACTTGTCAAAGGATAAAGTCAGTCGCGTTTATCGTAAAAATTATCTCGGTTTCTGCAAGAATAAGTGTGTCGCTGCTGCAGTGAGTGCCATAATAATGCATCAGGACTGCTTCAGATCCGAATCGCAGCCGCTGATCCCATCTCTGCAATTTTACATGAAGTGCTCTCCACCTCAAACCTTTCAGAATTCGTACACGATCCCAATCCCACCCTTCATCGCAAAAATCAGCCAGTTACGACATGGAGCTGCGAAGCTACAAGGGTTTAGAGATGTTGCTCTTGGTGGATGCATGCAGTCTGAGCCCCTTTTGCAGAGCGATTGAAAACCAAAGTACGGCGTCGAGAAGATTGTTGCCTCGACACAACCGGGGCCGGTAAATTCGGCCTTGGAAAATATTGGCAGTCACAGTGACATCACTCAGGGGAATCGAATCGACTTTGTCATCCGTTCCTGTATTACTTTCAGCGTAAGTTACGGCCGACAGCTGGATCTTGTCATGTTGATGCGACATACAGACAGTCCGATAATCCTCGCAGGCCAAAGACCGCCTTCAAAGAACCTGTCCCTTGACCGGCACACCTCCATGGCATGACCAGATCGACCAGCCCGATGGCCGTCGGGGAGCCGGGACTTCAGAACCTTTCGCGTACAGAGGATCGACATGTTTGCCCCAGGGCTTCTCCGCTGTCGATGGTTTTGGCGTGGGCTAGGAAGAAGTGAGCTACACGCCTCGTCGCTGCGGGGGATTCTCATTCCGATGCTGAGAGGAATTTCAGTTCTATCCTACGCGGTGGGACCGGGAGGAAGTCGACCAGAGATTTGGCTGCTCTGTATTTTCGAATTCTTCTTGTACCAGCAATTTGGATTATAAGCCTCGAGTACTGGTCACTATGAATTTGACGGAATTTCTAAATTCCCCGGTTTGGATGCCCCATCGGAAGCGGTCTCAGACAGATCGTTCCAAGTTCGTCCATGTCGAGACCACCCAAATGCCAACCCTGGCTGTCTTTGCACATGTCTAACATAAGATTCTCTCGTGTTTTAGAGCCTCCCCGAGGGCCGTCGTCATCTCTCGCCCGACCAAGGCTCAAGGTCCTCTGTGGGCGCCGTGTGACATCAGCGATGCAGAATTGCTAGTTGTCTCACAATCTGCATTGATGCTACGCAACTTGCTGGTCCAATTTCGTGGAGTGCCTGGATATCGAAGGAAAGCTTGTCGAACAAGTTCAGAGCGATGGTGGATCTCCTCAATGCAAGTGAGTAAGCAACCTCCAATGCGACTCTGTGTTAGCACGCTATAGTTCTTTCACCTTTCTCACCAAAACCTAAGCTTGACTCACTCATCGCCTTCCGAAATGGCCTTGAAGGTGGATTGCTCTGAGTAATACGATGCTATAGCTTTCTAGATCTTTGTAATGATTATCTTGCTGATCCATGTGTGTTATCTAAGTATTAGAATGATATATAAATATATCGAGTATATTTTATTGAATATAAAAAAATGTCTTTACTAAAAAGTGCACTTGATATCGAAATTTACTGTACTTTTTTCAGTAGTTTGCTCATTTTCACCAATGTGATTCAGTGGAGAGTTCCTCGGGCTTCTTCTTTTTGACTTTGTGGAGAGAGGTACTACTGTAACCGACATGAACATTTTCTCCCACTGCTTGTTCATGTGTAACGCTTGAGAACCTCCATGCTTCTGATTTCAATAGAGCATGCTCCCATTATCACAATGTATTGATTAAAATATACTTGTCATGAATCATGTGCACTTTTTAAGAATGATGACCCTGCTCAATGATCAAGTTTCTATAATCATATGACATGGATTTCACACAGTAATTTGATTAAAACTAGTGCATGATTGCTAATATAAAAGTGATTCAAGGATTTTGATTTTATACAAACATAGAAATTCGGTAAAAGGTTGATTCTTTTTCTTTTTAAAGGACATTATAAGAATCAAAATTATTAACTTGCAATAAAGGATGATTTTTAGAATAAAATCATGTGATTTATTTTCTGAGTAGTGAAGACATCAATATGTTACCAAGCATATTATCTGAGTAGAATTATACTTAAATCATAGTTCTTCCAAAAATCAACCTGAAACGTTGTATTTGATAAATAAATATTTATAATGTTAGTTTTTTTGCAAGAATCATATTATTGATTATATATAAAATATATAAATTAAAAAAATTTTCATTTATCTGAGGATTCATGAAAACATGAAGATTTATTACATTTTGTGATATACATGAACAATTATAAGATCAATTGATAAAAAGATTGATTATAATTACATGAACAATCTAATCACATGAACTATTATAAATCAATTTTTTTATAATAAATTTAATATACTAAAATTTTTAATAAATTACATATGTCAAAAAATGACAAATTAGACCAACTCTCTATGATATTTGAAAGTTGATTATCAACTATTGATCTACATGAATATCAATGAATGTTAATTGTTAATTTTGATATGTTTATCCATGGTTGTTAAAAAAAATTATACAACTCACATACCACACACATTCAACTAGATTTATTTATTCAAACATTTTAGTTTATAATACTTTGACTTATACAATGAGGGGAGCTAATTCTTGACATCCGTAGTACTCAAAACCAAAGATTAAAAGGGATCTATTGAGAAGTCAATTCACGACCGACAAGAAGTTAATCCTAATAATGATTGGTCGTATCAATTTTTTAATCAATATATAAGATAGATTATCATAGCTCGTAATTAACATTATTAATATATTTGTAAATCAATAGTATGTTTTAGGTTTTTTCTTGGCTGCGTTAATATTGTAATCTTAGCTTTTTGTACAAATTTTTTTTTCATAAGTAAATTATAAGGAGCATATATGCAATTACTGTTATAATCTCAAAAAAAATTTCTAATTTTCATATCAATTTTTCACTTAAATTTATCTCTAATAATTTTTTGATAACCCATTATGAATCCAATGTAATATTTGCTATATAATTTCTCTTAAATATATTCATACACAATTGATGTATTATTCAATGTCAATTTTTATATGAACTATAAAACTTTTCATAAAACTTTTTAGATTATTTTTGTAAAATTGTGCTTTTGCGCAAAAAATAATATTATAATGAAACTCTAGGAAGAAAATAACTATTACAATTTCAGTGCGTTCACCGTGAACATGAAATATTATATTTTTTTCTCAATTATCAAATCAAATTCCATTCAGATTTATATCTGATGATTTTTTGGTAATTCATTATAAATCCAATCAAATGATGTTTATTATAAATTTTTAGATCAAATACACTCTTATACAATCTTTTCATTCATTATTCAATGTCAATAATCATAAACACATAAATGTACTTTGTAAAATTATTTTTTCCTTGATGAATTTTTTTTTATCTAATTTTACTTGAAAATTATTTTTTGTATTTATGCAGTCATTATATTTTATAATTTAAATTTAAAATTTTTTATCATTGAAAATAATATTTCACAAAATTTCTTATTCTAGATAGTGAAAATTTTTTTCTTTTATGTAGAGAAGACAACAAGTCATTTGAAACATTACAATATTTAGAATCCAAAATAATCATTTGTTAACTAAATCAGAACTAAAATTTAGTTTAAGTAATCGTGTTATTAAATTCCATTAAATAAAAAATATGTACATAATTATCTATTTTTTGACTGAAATACAAAACTTGCTATCAATTTTGAAATGTTGTTCAAAACAAAGATTCATTTATAGTAAATAAAAATTAAAAAAGCAATTTGTTGATGTCATAAAATCATAATAAATCAAATATGTTCATATAATTATCTAGGATTCTCATATATATATAAAAATAATACATAATCAAGTTTCTAATTTCATTTCCTCAATATTGCATGTGAATGACATGAAATGTTGTAGCTAAATTTACATTTAATATTAAAATCCAAAAAAAAATTCACTACTGAAGTGAGAATGAAAGATTTTAATGCACTAAGAATTTTGAAGAAGAAAATCTTAAAAAATTTAAATAAAAAAAATTAAGGTTTTTTCAATTACAATATGCTAAAAAAGCTAATTGCAAGGTTTCACATGAAAAAATACTGACTTGAGAATATTATTTCAACTCATCACTTTAAAGTTCCAAAGTTCCTGTAAGTGAGGAGTTTACAATCAAATATGCATAACATGTATATCCGGATGTTTGCTCTTCAAAGTCATATTTACATTTTCTTTATGTTCAGGTGTTTATTTTCATATACATTTTTCTAAAAATTATTAATGTAAAATATTTCATGAACTTACAACAAATTAATGAAAAGTTTCATATCTTTGATGAGTATTAGCCAAATGTTGATCTTGCTAAGGACAAAATTAGGATGTATATGTCAAATCAAGAAAAGACATACTAAGAAGATATGAATTCTTAAGTCCTGAAATCTTTGTTGCAAGACTGTACAATAACAATTCATTGATTAATCATGTATATGTTGATCATGGATAAAACTTAGATGGAAAAATTCTACATTCATATATGTGTTCATATTTGGAGATAAATAAAAAGTTGAAGGTCTATTTTGCAAAAATATGTAGTTTTTTTAAAGTGAAACGAAAATTGAACAAGCTATAACAAACATAGCAAAGAAGAAAATTTGATTCTTTACGCTTATGATTAGTAACAACTTAATGCATGACATTACAAATCTTTCTTGTGATAGTCAAATGACTTGAATAGAAGAAATGTGTGATATTATGAATCTTCATGATAATAGTGAAAAGGTTGTATATTTCACTTTGAATATGATCACAAAAATATCACACCCCGCTCGGACGCAGTAGACGCCCCTGTCTCGTAAGGTGAGCGCTGCCGGAGTGGATTCTTGGGTAAGGTATATATCATAACACTTTCATATCAAATATCATTTTTTAAAATCAATTTGTGTGATACATAATGATTGAATTAGTCAAGATTAATTACAAATTTAATTATAGTGATGCATTTTCCAAAGCTATTCCATTAGAGGGTTTTTTTAAACATTGTGACAGACCTGAAGTTTTGCATATAGATACTAGTGAATTATGTATTATTGTATTATTTTTATGTATGATTCAACTCAATCATATTTTTGATACACTTTAATTCTGGTTGATTCCATACTATAGAGAGATCTATGTCAGAATTCCTTGTTAAAGTATCCCTAGAGTTCTTATGTATATTAAGGAAGCTATAGTTACCAAGAAATAGATCAAAGAGATATTTATAAAAGTTAATTTAGATATTTAATCAAGTAATGGCTAATTATAGTTAGTCAGACCAGCATGCATATCCATAAAAGAGCATGTCATAACTCTCATTGACAATAGAGCAATATAGTGTACATGTGTATATAACCTTAACCATATGAACTATGTTTCTTGCATCAATTGTTTAGTTTGTTTGTGTTTTCTAGTTATCTCATGAACTATGTTTCTTGCATCAATTGTTTAGTTTGTTTGTGTTTTCTAGTTATCTCATGATTTCACGTAATAATATATAGGTAATATAAGATTAAATACTCATAGAACTCCAAGAATTTAAATCTATTAGTTACTTCATTCTATCAAGTTCCATACAATTTTTACTTTTTGTCATGAAACTTTGAAAAATCTACTTGAAGACTTATATAGATCCAAAAATGAATACTTGATTTTAGTGCGCACAATTCGTTACCATTCAAGTTATTGCTATTATAATTTGCATTTGAATAAAAATAAACTTCAAAGGAAGATCTACATGATCCAAAACCACATTTCCATGATGATTCTTGAAAAACACCAATTCGGATTTTCTCCCACTTTGGTTGTGAAGGGAATGGGGATCCATTGTTACTGTGCAATGGATCCATTGGACGGAGGTATTGTGTTCCCATAGCAGCTAAAGCGTCCAAAAGCTAACGAAACATGTATCCAAAAAGAACAATGATGTTTCTGAAAATTCTATATTTTCCTTCTCTCTATCGTTGTAAAATGTCTTTGAAAATATTGTGAGAAGGAAACTGAAAGAACAAATTACTGAGACAAATAGAACAATGCTCTCGGATCTCTCTTTCTAACAGCGCTCCTGAATATTTTCAAAGTAAAGTATATTAATGACTTTGGAGGGTGTTACAGTTCCCATATTTATATGAGGTATTAGGGTTAGTGTAAACCTATATTAATAGAGACTGTCGGTTAGGCCTCTCGACAGTTCTTAGGGTTAGGTAAACCGTCTTTATTATTAGAGAAAAGTTATCTCAACACTCTTCTCCAAACAATGAACTCCATCATTAAAAAACTTCAAAAAGATTGAAGAAAAAAAGTGGAGTCATTGTTTGTTTTCTGATTCAACTATTGTTTGTAAGTTCTGATAAAGTCCGCATCCTTGCTGCAGCTATCAATTTTTGATGCTACGGAGCTAGTAATGTCTTGGTAAGTATATTCGCGATGTTCTCTGCTAAAGCTATCTTTTTCACTGCAATCTAGCTCGTCTCCGTGAGGTCTTGTGTGTAGCTGAACAAATGAGGACTAATATTTTTGACACAGTTAGACTAGATGAAACTAGAAGATACTTGCTCAATACAAGTTGAGTTATCTTCAAAAATTGTTGTTGCGTTCTCTTGGAGTGAAAACCTAGCCATATCGGATGAAGAGATCTACATGATGCGAAACCACACTGCTTTGCGGGGTGCCTCGTGAACCGCAAGGAGCTTAGCTTGAATCGTTGAAGTTGCTGGGATTGTTTGTTTCGTGGATCTCCAACAAATGGGTGCTCCAATTTTTATGAAGATGTAGCCTGTTTGATATT